TATGAATTTTTTATACTCTACCCTCCTGCTAAGAGCTTGACAAAGATCAGGAAAGAATACATTAGATGAAGAGATAAACATGAGAAAAGACATAGACCCTCTTCTTTACCAAAGCGACATATTTTTGCAGAACAAGGCCTTCACTTTTAAACTCAACAGGGCGTGAAACTTAAACTTTAAGTAAACAAGTCGAAGAGCTGATGCTTGAGGAAGAAGATTGTGAAAAACGTCAGATTTCTCGTAACCGTAACTACCCTCACGCAACTTGGCCTATAGGAGTTGCTTATTCCTTTCACCGCAATGCTAATATGTGTTTGATTTGCTTACAAGTATGAACAACATATAAGAATTTCTACTAAGGCCGAAAGATAATAAGCGTTTTTGAAAAGGAATGAATAAATGGCAAAAGGGCAGCTGCATAAACTTCTAGGAAGACCTGCAGCAAAATTAAGTTTAGGACATGGTTATGCCATGCTAGCAAGAGAACGTGTTGAACTAATGTTCGAAGGTGGATGTTGGTTATACGTGGACGACATTCGCGATGTGCAGGCTCTCTACCTGGGAAAGGGCTTTGAACAAGTAGGAGCTGTTTGATCTCCATAATAATACAAAGGCATCTGAACGCGTTGGGATTGAACTATGTTTGAACGGAAGATACTTTTTGAAAAGGAATGTGGTTTCATGAGTGTTTTTGCAGGTTGGAATAGCAGTGCATAGAATTAGTCACGCTCTTGATATGTGGCACACTAAATCCACGCATGATCGTGACGAGTACATCAGACTCATAACACAAAACATCCTAATATGATTCTCTATCCTCAGATTTAATTATTTTTATGATGTCAGAAATATACATTAATGTTCCAGCCTAGCTGGCTTGACCAATTTCGAAAGGAGGCAAGAGCGACGAACGAAAACTTCATTCCACATAATTACGTTAGCATCATGCGCTTCGGGACTACAAGCTTATCGACTCTATTGAAAAATCAACATTTTCAAAATTGAGTTTAGCTTATCAATAAACGGCAAACTTTCGGTGGTACCTCGCGACTCCAGTCATATCCTACGGCTATCAGTTCATTTCCTTCTACGAACTTTCGGTGAACAGACACTATGGCTGTCTTGGTATGTTGCAGGAATTAGCAGGAAACTGCTGTAAATGTCAAATCCTCGAAATGTGTTTATTCAGACAAGTGCAAGTCGGAATCTTTCGGCCGCAACATGCTACATGAGAGGCTTTCCATATCCAAAAGACCGTTCTAGATGCGTTTGCCAAGACGGCTACGGAGGCAAACTTTTGTAACGAGTATCATGTAAGGACTCCGCTGTTTCTATTCGCATTCATCATTGCAGCCAGCGGTTTGCGGAAAAGCCCTAACAACTAACAGTAATTAGCAAACTCTTGAAGATGTATTGGGCACTAACGAAAGTGGAGAAGTAAAGACTTTGATATGTATTACTACTGGATCTCGGTTTGCTTAATGCCAGTATCTGCATAACCAAACAGCAATCTTCTTAATATTGGCCTCAAAAAGAAGAAGAGTTGAAGTCAAGCTCAAGTACTTCAGTGAAGATGCATTACTTGATGATACTCCTACGCAAGTGAGATTAAGACCCAGAAGGATCAGCTTATAAGTGGTCACAGGTGGAGTAACGCATAATGGTGTCGAAAAACGCTGTGATTTTGCTAGAGATTTAGAACCTGTGTCTTTGAAAATATAATCTTTAATTCGTAATCAACTACAAGGAGCTGTACGTTATTCCTCTTAATAATGATTTTCTCGATGTTTTAGAAATCTAGCACCACGCTGTCGCTCATCCTTATGCTCCCATTATCTGCCAACGAGAATTGAGAATTAGCAATTGTGTTGTTGAGCGCGCTGACGTGCTCATAGATGGACTGATATCATCAAAATGCACGATAGGCTCGCTTAATGTGCCGCTCTGTTGCATTTATAAAAAAAGAAATGCGTGCTCGTCTTCGCCTTTCGCTACTTATAACAACGAACAAACGTTTTCACGCTACGCGTTGGTTTCATCGTCGTTCATCACCAAACCTACTGGAAGAATAAAACTTACTAAAAGAATTGGGA